TCTTCCTGATGTTGCTGTGACCTGGCACTGCTACATATATAAATATTCATATTCAGATATAGATAGATCGATAGATCGTTCTTCCTGATGTTGCTGTGACCTGGCACTGCTACATATATAAATATTCATATTCAGATATAGATAGATCGATAGATCGTTCTTCCTGATGTTGCTGTGACCTGGCACTGCTACATATATAAATATTCATATATATTTGAATCATATATATGATTCAACCAGTTGTGAATCATTTCCATATTGTCAAGAAAACTACATGGATGTGTTTGAGAAGTCACCAGGAGGCAAGTTTGACTTGGAGACTCTACCTTACATATTTTGACTATAGCTTTTGCAGGTATAAAGTACAGAACATAGTTTTCCTGAACAATCAATATTCCATTTTCATTTGTTTATTGTAAAAAAAGGAAGCTACTAAGCATTACTCAAAGATGTAAAGTAATGACTTTTGACTGTTTCTTTTTAATAGGCTTGCTTTCTGTGATGTATTTTTATAAATTACAAATACTGTCCTCCAGGACTTGGGGCAGGAGGAGACAGCTGAAACCATATATCTGTGCTTAAGGAAGCAGTTTAAAGTTTAAAAGTGAATTAGTTTTGATTGGGAGATCAGTGTTAAAAATGTGTTATCTTAGCATCTTGAATGCTTTTTGAGAAAATTTGCCCTTCAAACTTAGTTGAAGTGGCCATTTGTAGTATGGTGCCAATTAATTCTTAATGGTATTGTGTTAAACAATTCCCCAAAGACCAGCAACTCTTCTGTTCGTAGACAGAGACATCCAAGAATCCAGCCTCCAGCACAGAGCGAGCACCACCTCTTAAAATATTAGATTGTGTATCAAATATTGAGAGGCTTTGCAAGAACTCATTAAAACAGTGTTGTCCAAACTTGGCCACTTTAAGATGAGTGGACTTCAACTCCCAGAATTCCCCATCCAACCATGCTGGCTAGGGAAATCGGGGAGGTGAGGGCCAAGTCTCTTAAAAGTGCCTAGATTTGGGAAGACGGTTTTTATGAGATCTTGCCAAGCCTCGCAA